GCTAGTTAGTTGATATATGATTATATGAGATTGATGTCCTGGCAGGATGGGTTGTAGATGGTCTTCTTATGCCAGATATTGTTCTGTGCAAGTCTGAACAGCAGGGAAGATGGGTGCTCATGACAGTTTCCCGTTGGAAGATGGGTGCGAAGAAGCCAGATGCACCTCTTGGAAGCTGGTAAAGCGAGATTCAACTCGGCAGCTGGCTTTGAAGAGCTTCTCCAGCACGTACCAAGCACTAGTCATTCCACAGGGATGAAGGCTTACCATCCACACAGCGGGTGAAGGCCCACGATGGCTCACCAAAAAAGATCTTTGCCTACCAGTCTACCAGCTATGTGGTACAATTGGAGTAGATATAGGGTTTTCAACAGACAAGACCCCATGACTCCATGGTCCTCCTCGTGTTCCCCGTGCTAACGTTGGGCGCTGCAGGTGCAGCTGTTTAAGGCTTTGAACTCTGTGCAGTCAGACTTCCGGGCCGGCGCGGATGCACTGGAGGCATCGATGAGCTGCTGAGCTTGCTGAAGAAAAAAACACATCGAAAACATCATACAACCAATACCCCGATCTCAGTTAGGGATCACTTAGGGACACCGAACAGGGCATCTTGCTGGATCCCTAAAACACCGAACCCTAGGGATCACTTAGGGATCCACATACCCCGATTCAACCTCCCGTGGCCGGAACTCTCGGCTGTCCGGACTGGGAGTCCCATGAGTCTCGTGTTTGGGTGATGTGGATGGCATTGGTCGATATGATTCGGATAACCAATGATGACCAATGATGACCATGTTCCTGTTTCACCGGAGGTTGCGTTTTTTTTTTTTTAAATTCTTTTTTGGGGGGTAATTTGTTTTATAAGCCATTGAGCATCATTGAGCTTACAGGTGGACTCGAAATGAACAAAAACGGGTGGGGTCTGTGCAGCAAGGTCTATACAGTGTTGCTTGGGTGGGGTCTGGGGCATCGTTTTGGGACGTGCACGCGTCGGACGAGTCGGGTTCTTCCGGGGAAGGGGACTTGATGGCCTGAAAATCGTGAAGCTATGGATAGCATCAGGAAAAAAGTCCGAAAATTCCTATACTGTATATATATATATATACTGTATATATGCCTACATCGACCCCTTTTCAACCACCCCAATGTAGGTAAATATGCCAGTCCCATGTGGAACACCTCCTGTGAGTAAGAGGAATGTTATCATCCAGGCCTTTTCATCCACGTCCCAGCTGACCAAATGTGCACGTTTTGTCCAAGGCCCTGGTATACGGTTGTTTTTTTAATATATATGTTGTTTCCTTGAGAGGGTACTTTTGTCCATACTTCCTGCCTCAGTTGGTGCTTCGGACAAAACAGGGTCCCGACGAGTATACATGAGCTCTATGGAAGCTTATTTTCCAAAGATCCATGGCATTGGTACATTCAATCAGTCTAATGCACCTAGGTAATAGTGATAGGTCACTATTCATTAAATCAGTCACTATTACCTGGTATACTCATTACGTGCATGTTTGGCATGAATGAGTTTTCATTGTTTGTCAATGATGTCACCTTTATTTCTTGACACCAACGGCCAGGCAACAATCTCAAACTGCAAAAATCCTAGACCTCCTCAAACCACAGTTGCAATTCCCAGGATATGTATTGTACTTCCCAACCCAAATCAGTGAAGCTATGGCGTAAAGGACCAATAAATGGACCTGGATACTCTATGTTTGATGGAGGGACATCTCCTATCTCTATTTGTTGTCAAGCTGCACATATAAGGATGTTATGTTGGCCGTGGCATCAGGTCTCAACTTATTTTCCCCGAAGGGGATGTGCATTGGTGCACTGGGAGAACACAGAGGATGTCCGAAATTGGAGTATTGATGAAACGAACTGCACCCCAAATCAAGGGAACTTTGAGTATGTACATGTATTTACCTTGATCTTTGACGAACTAGGAGGATTTGGCACACAACTTAACTTGCGTTTGTTGAGCCCGGACTCCTGGACCACTCTGAACCTCGCGGACCTCGCGTCCACCACCTCCAGCTGGATGTCTTTATGCCTCCAACGGCCACCAGCTGTCGCGCAGCGCCGGGATGCCGAGTGGACGTGGCACACGGCGGGCTCCGCGCCTCCCATTCGGGGTGAAGGGTCGCGGGAGAGGGGTCAGGGAGAGCTCAGTGATCCCAACTGATTCTGACATCAGCTAGCACAACTTTGGTAATAATAATCTAAATATATAATAATTGCATATATATAATAGACAGTACACATATATACATATTATATTAACATTATAAACTGGGGAATTCCTTTTCGATCAAGTAGTGGGTTGTCCACCAAACCATGTGAGAGCTGAATAGGGAGTACTGTAGATCACTCACACCATTTGTTGCAACCTCCAACAAAAAAACCGCCACTGACCTGATCCTCCTTCATGAAACATGTTCGGAAGATAGAGAGGGCATGTCCAACCTATACAGAGAAGCTCTTGCGGACGAAGTCGAGTCGCAACGTCCATGGACTTGGCGATGTCGAATGGATAGCAATCAATACATTTGAAATCATATATACTGTAAACATATGAAACACAACAAAACATGTAGAAGAACCATCAAAACATTTTGCCAAAGAACAGCCCAATGATTTGGCCGGGCACCGACGGAGCGTCCCGTCCAGGGTTGCTTTTTAGGTATGGCTGACATGGCCCTGTTCCGAGTTGACCAAAGACAGAGCGAATTTGGGCAAAGCCACAGTTGAATCACTTGTTGGAAACTTCATCGGTGAGATGATGAGGGAAAAAAACATAAAAAAAACATGTACCTTGTGAAGGCATCAAACTGATATCATCATATCATCCATCATATACATATAATGGGTGTTTTCTTCCACGTGTCCATGACACTCATTCGCATCGAGAGCGGTCTTGTGCGCCGTGCATCGATGCATCGACGCTTGGCCCGAAAGCGACGCCGCTGCCGGCCCACCTCCAGGCACGCCCGCCGCGCGGGTGTGTATGTGTGTGTGTCCACCCGTGGGCAAAGGGTTTCCTACCGCCACTTCAACTTTCACTTTTCAACCACTGACTCATCGGCAGGGGGGACCAGGCATCTCGCTGCTGACCTGGTCTAACAAAGCTAGGCAGCGAGATGGGAAGCACCAAAGGACGCTTTGGTGTGTACCTGCCACACAACTTTTGCACAAGCTGTTCACTCTACTTTTCCACGGTTTGGTTCATGGTTCTTTCACGTTCCTTACCCCATAAACAGGTTTCCCACAGCTGCTTTCAGCCGCCGTCGTTCAACCGCGGTTCTGCAGACAAGTGAACAATTTGTTCAACAATTCAGTTGCGCTGACCCTTTCACCTTGCGTTTCCCTCATTCCTTTTGACCTGGGAACTGAGTTAACTGAATACAATTGTCAGAGTGTGTTTCGCTCAGCCGTCCCACTCGGGTGCTGAGTGTGATCCCCGTCATTGGGGCGCTGTCTCATCGTGCAAGCATTTACTGACCTCACCACTCTTCACAGGAATCCCACAGGAAGTCACCTACACAACCACCGAATTAACTGCCACCACGGCCGACTGCACCGTTTTTGCAAGGTCTTTCTGCATGGCTTTTTTCCGCATGTTTCTGCATATGCGCTCAAGCAATCCGACCTGATTTTCCAACAGGTTAATTCGAGATGCATGAACACACCATCACACGCCACACTCCACATGAAGACAACTCTCACAGCTGCTGACGCTGCTGCCGCCGAGCTAGTGAGGCTTTATGTCCAGAAAGGACACAATCACCAAGCCTGCCACCGATTTTTGAAAAAAGCGCCGACAACGGCGACCTGTGTGTGTCCACCCGTGGGCAAAGGGTTTCCTACCGCCACTTCAACTTTCACTTTTCAACCACTGACTCATCGGCAGGGGGACCAGGCATCTCGCTGCTGACCTGGTCTAACAAAGCTAGGCAGCGAGATGGGAAGCACCAAAGGACGCTTTGGTGTGTACCTGCCACACAACTTTTGCACAAGCTGTTCACTCTACTTTTCCACGGTTTGGTTCATGGTTCTTTCACGTTCCTTACCCCATAAACAGGTTTCCCACAGCTGCTTTCAGCCGCCGTCGTTCAACCGCGGTTCTGCAGACAAGTGAACAATTTGTTCAACAATTCAGTTGCGCTGACCCTTTCACCTTGCGTTTCCCTCATTCCTTTTGACCTGGGAACTGAGTTAACTGAATACAATTGTCAGAGTGTGTGCATGGGTGGTTACATGTTATTTACCCAGAAAAACTGTGAAGCGAGATGAAGGGCGTAGATGGAGGGGCTGTTGGAAACGGAACCAGCGACACAGTGAAACGGAACCGGGCCGGTGTCACACAAGAAATTGGAGCTTTCTTGTTGGAACCCTGAAAAGGGTCGGAGGAACAGCTTTGTTTCATGAACACCTCACACTCCGACTCACTAACATGGAAGTGGAAAACCTCCTGTTTGTAAAGGAAAGTAGTCTTCCAAAGGGTCATTTTCCACTTCCATGTTAGTGAGTCAGAGTGTAAATCGGATGCGTACGGGTTTGGGCAGTTCTTTCTGCTCGGAGTGCTGGACCAGTCGGAGAACAGCTGAAGAACTGGACCTGGAAACATCCTTTCTGGGGCGACCTATCGCCTGCCGGCTGATGACTGTCAGTGATTTGGGGTTTTGATGGTGAAAAGAGGTCAAGGGCTTTACGGTGGTTTTGATGGTCGAAAGTACTTGGTTTCCTGTCGTTTTGATGGTCAAGTTAGAGTGGGCAAGCCAAGTGTGAGAGACAAGACCAGGCGAATCATAGAGACAGAGTGAGAAAGAGAGAGGAGAGAATTTTTTTTCGCATTGGGATATGATGTCCATTGGCTGCTGCCAGTTTTGACTCTCCAGCCATCAAAAAGGAATAATTTCTAAACCATCAATCCACAGAAAACGGCCAAAAACCCTTATGTTTGTCGCATGTGCCAACTAACATGGTAGGCCTCGTTCGTTTGCAGGAAGCACTTCGCCGTTCGTTTGTTGCGCCATGTCGTGTTGTGGACGGGGTCCCTCGACTCCGCTGGAGCACTTCGCCATGATGCTGAACATGCAGAACCGGAAGAGAGGCGCGTGATGGCTTCCCTCGGGCTCCTGGCCCATATCCCCCCAAACACCCGCCCCAACCCATTTTTTGCCAACGAGGTAGTTGGAGCCCTGGGGTTTTGAAGAACATGAACGTGGACCTTTTCGCTGACATACTGGCTTTCCCGTTTTCTTGGCACCGATGTTGAAGGGGTTTAACCCACGGTCCCATCGTTTGGAAAGACCCTAAACCCCACCTTTTTTTTCTGGTCTGAAGGTGCATGTGCAGGTGCAGCACCAGGTTGGACTGAAGGGTCCAGAAGTGGAAACGAAACACTCTCAGAGGAAGATTGGACCGGAAAAGGGCACCTGCGTAGCTGGAAAGGCTCGGTCATGTCATGCTTCCCCTCCGGCCAAGTCGCAGCATGCTTCCCCATTCACAGGTGCGGTTTCCGCTCCGCTCCGCGCCCGGCGGAATCCGCCCTGGACATCCTCCCAGGAGACGAAGAGACCATGAAGATGAGTTACCCGATGTACACTGTAGCAGCCGAAGTGCTGTTGAAGATGGATCGACTCCGACCGCATGAACGGTTAATGGAGCAAGGGATGCTCGTGGAGTTCAAGAAGGGTATGGGAAGCCTGGCTCCGAAGCTCCGGACGTCTTATTTTTCTTAGTTGTTTGGTGACTGGTGTGCCACTCAACTTGTGAATCTTTTGCCATAGTATGTAAATATAACATAACAAGTTACAGTAATATATATATATTATATAGATATGCACATACAGTTATCATATATATAATATATACATATACACATAATGGACCTGGTAATCCATGAAGACTGCAGACATGTTTTTTGGTGTTTACACTTTGGTACTTGTTTGGCTTCACTTAGTAGCTCGTCATGGAAGTGATTATTGTTCTCTCCTATGGTCATCTCAGGAAATGCGGCCTTCGTTTCGCATCAGTGGGTGGGAGGGGAACATCCCGATCCAGAATCTCAACCTTGGTTATAGCAGAAGTTTTCAGATAGGCAATGAATGATAGCTAGACTCTTTTCCTCGCAGACGCTGTTTCTATGTGTTTCTTTCCTGTTATATCTGACAAATTGTTTCATTTGCAGCAATGCTGAGAACACCTTTTCACCCGCAGTCCTTCTTCAGTCGATTCTCGTAACGTCGTACATGTCCGAAATGTTCAGGAAAGCCCAGAGCAGGCACACTGGGACATTCTTGTTTTGAGGGCCCCAGTTTCCCTCAAAATCTGTTGGGTCCCCCGCGGAAACGCTACGATATAGACAAACCTTTCTAAAAGGTGTTTGATGTGAATGAAGTGTTGGACTTGGCTTTGCCATGCCTTGCTTGCTTCCATTATTACTCACCGCCCGGGTAGTTTCACTCTCAGGAGTTCAAGCAGTTCCAAGTTTTACAGGAGGCCTTGCGACGCACCCTTACTGACTTGAAGGTCATTGAATTGGACATCTACACGGAGAGTTTTGTTCCGAGTGCCAAGAGCTTGCCAACCAACAAGCTTTGGTCCGAAGCACTCTTCGTGTGGTATGAGTCCCGGACAGCACAAACACAAGCACGATTTTGTTCCGTTTTATGTGTTTTTTTAAAACATGTGTTTGCTGTTTTGTGTTTTTGAGTATTTCCTGCAGTCACTGTCAGTCAAAGTCAAACACTTGGATGGCTCCTCCCTCGGTCGCTGAGGACTATTTTTCGTGCCCACAGCTCGAGCACAACGGGACTCACTACACTGATATCAACCAGACAAGTGATCTTGCTCTTGCCATTGAAAGCATCCCTGCCTATATCACAAAGTGCCTGGGTCGGCCAAGCGGGTTTTCTGTTTCTGTCCAACAACTCCCATCCACTCACTGTTTTCGTTCAATGGTTTTAGTAGAAGCATTCCATGAAGCTTGTTCAGTTGACATCCTGGCCAATTGAGGTGTGCATTCTTCTTTGTCTTGTGCCCCACGATTGAGAAACCTGCGCTTGCGCCAGAGTTGAAGTTTTTTTTTGTTTGTTCAGATCTCTTGGGAGTCCTGTTCACCTCAGTGCCGCATGGACCGTGCGTTCTTTGCCAAGACGGAGACACCCCATGGCCGGAAAGCACACCGCCTTCCGCGACCGCTCCGGCGACCCCCCCGGACAAAAGGCACTTGGGCCGATTGCCGCAAGGGTTTCAGCAGGTGTCCTGAGTCCAGGGTCAGGCCTCACGGCCGATTTCCTCAATGTGATTTTTGGTTCGTCAATTAGTGCAATGACAAATTCTGTGTTTCACAGGATGTGGCCGTCAAAGCGAATAGGTGTTTACTATGTTTTGTTTAGTTAGTCAGGAGGCAACAGTCAACAAATTATGTATAATCCTCCATTTGGATTGTACTGTAAAACCTCTTCATACGAGGATGTTAGTTATTGTATATATGAATTAATCCAGAAAGTCTACATTATAGCATCACCAAGGAATGCCGATTCCTCCAAGTTGTTCACTCCTGTGACCTGGGCTCAGCGTGGCTGGTGCCGCATGGAACGCGCCTGTCGAGAGCTCTCCATGGATGCTTGACCGCGCGTCTTCGGTGTTTTTTTGGGAGGCGCAGGCTATAGGCATGGAGAGACCCCTAAGGATTGGGCGAATTGGGCGAAAGCATGCGAAAGCCCTAAATCCCATTCCTTCAGAAGAGAGGTTGTAGCCTGAAATGTGTGGTGCTCTTCCCGGAAGAGTATTGCTTTGCAACGAGGTGCCCAGTTGCCTATATCGTTTAGATGTCCCATCGCCAAAGTGTCACACACGTGCGTCCAGGTCCTCCGTGCTCAATGGTTGCTCTATGTTAGGAATCCATAGGAAAAAACAACGTTTTTGGGAGCAAAACCAGGGAATTTCGGTGTTCCCAACTTGATGTGTTTTTTTGCCTGAAGCTGCCCTTCCCCAAACCCAGGATGATTTTTCGTAAGGGTTTTGGTCTCCAGCATGATCCATAGGTTGCTTTACCACAGTTTAGTCAGTCCTGAAGCCAAAATCAGTGATCCTTTTCTTCCGCTCGGCTCTGTGAACTCCCACACGCCTCCACCAAAACATGCGCATATGCGTGCTTGTGCTTTTCACCTCCAAGCTTGACTTATTTGGCCCAAAAAGCACCTCAGAAACAGGGTTGGCCGCACAGTGGGCTATGATATAGTGCCTTCTGGTGTGTTTTTTTGTCTCGGGTGCCAAGTCTCCTCCTTCCAGCTGAAAAATCACAATCCCTCACCCTCCCGGCAAGTCCTCGCATCGAGGAAGCTTCGTGGATCATGATCAAATCCTCGGGGTGGTTTGAGCTTATTGGCTCGCCCTTGGGATCTTTTGCCTTTGGCGGACCTGCTGGGGAGGGCCAATTCAGCAGCTGAGCTTATAGAGACGTTTTGCGACTCGAAGGTAGGTGTTTCTTGGTATGTTTCTTTTGGTGCCACGATCCACTCACTTGCTGGGTTTAATATACAGTCCCTTTGGAACTGGATTCTAAAGGCTCCAATCATAAGTGTTCAAGTGGTGGTTTACGTGTTGGTGTGCTACCCATACTGATTTTACTCCTCGATGCCTTATTCCAAACGTGCGGTGTTGATTCATGGGATTTAACAGAGCGTCGCCCTGTTGTGCAGCCAGGGGCAAGCAACGAAGCATCAGGTTTTACATGGTGTTGCTTCAAAATACTTAGGTAAGCGTAGGTCCTTTGTACAAATCCATGCTCAACCTCAACCCAGTCACTGTCCCAGCGCACCACAGTGAGGTCAAAACATAAGATTTGGCGGTACGGTCATGCCACGGTCTGTCCGACGCAGCAGTCAGCGCACAGCGCAGAGATTTCCCCTGGTGTGCTCAAAAAAAGATGCCACACTGTTTGAGGTGTCGAAGAGGACCGCCAGAAATTGGGGCCAGTGATGGTGCACCTCTTGAAGCACAAGTTGCATTCCCTCCTCAAGGCCAAGGATCTGGTGGGGTACCGGTTGCTGCTGAACACGCAGATTCGCGGTGCTTGAAAAGCTGGAAAGGCTTGCTTTCGTTTCATGTGTGTGTTTCATGTGGTTTCAAGCAGTCTTGAAGTGCATATGGCAGAATTGAATTCAACATCCCTGGAGAGTCTTCGGGCAGATTAGGAGTGATCATGAGATGTGAAATGTGTAATGTTGGATCTTGATGAGTAAAAGGGACCCCCCTCAAACAAATGGGGGAGCCTTTATTTAAAAAAAAAGAAACTACCACTAAAACAAATCTGGGTTCCTAGGAGGATTCCTTTTTGGAATTGATTGTAGTATTCATTTTCCTTTCTCTCTTTGTAGTAGTAGTAGTTGTTGTTGTAGTTGTAGTAGTAGCAGTAGTAGTAGTAGTTGTTGTTGTAGTTGTTGTAGTAGCAGTAGTAGTAGTAGTAGGAGTAGCAGTAGCAGTAGTAGTAGTTGTAGTAGTAGTTGTTGTTGTAGTTGTAGTAGTAGTAGTAGTAGTAGTAGAAGCAGCAGTAGTAGTAGTTGTTGTAGTACTGGTAGTTGTTGTAGTAGAAGCAGTACTAGTAGTAGTTGTAGTAGTAGTAGTAGTAGTAGTAGTAATAGTAATAGTAGTTGTAGTTGTAGTTGTTGTAGTAGCAGTAGTAGTAGGAGTAGTAGTAGTTTTTGCTGTTGTTGTAGTTGTTGTATACTCATCAATACCCTCAGCAAGCCAACCATTGTCTTAGTAGTATTAAGAATTACGCTGTTTTTTTATGTTTCTTCAGGAAAAACTTTGCACAATTGAGGGCCCTTAAAACAAATTCATTATTGAGGATCACGGGCCTTCCTGGTCTACTACCTTGAAAATTTGTTTAGGAGCAATCTTTTCATAAAGGATTGATTAGGGAATTGATGGTTTTGGGAAGCTGTCAGTTTTGAAGAACTATAGAAACCTATACTTATCAATAAATACCCTCAGCAAGCCAACCATTGGCTTCGTGGTATAAAGAATTAGTATGTGTATGTTTCTTCAGGAAAAAAACTTTGCACAATTGAGGACCCTTGAAACAAATTCATTATTGAAGATCACGGGCCTTCCTGGTCTACTACCTTGAAAATTTGTTTAGGAGCAATCGTTTCATGAAGGATTGATTAGGGAATTGATGGCTTTGGGAAAATGTAGGTTTTGAAGAAGAACTATGGAAACCTATACTTATCAATACTCTCAGAAATCCAACCATTGGCTTAGTAGTATTACGAATTATTATCTATGTTCCTAAAGGAAATATACTTAACCCTAATATTTTTCACATAATAAGAATAACGATCCCAAAGAAATTTAGCAAAATAGAGGACCTTTAAAACACAGGGTGTCAAGAAATATTTATCCAACATTATCCACGATGTTCCTTCAATAAGTGAAAGTGATAAGGGCAGTATTTTGCTCCAGGTCTTTCTTCAGTCAACCAAGGATGACCCATCTTGGAGGCTTCAAGGTTGATGTCGTGGACGACGTTGTCCCCTGCTTTGAACCAGATCCCGACTCAAAGCCTGACTCCTTGTCGGTCATCGTATCGCGATTCTTCTATCAGATTCTTGGTTGACAAGCGTGACATCTCCTTCAATGTCTTTTTGGACTTCCCCCCTCTTTGGAAGGAGTCCTAGTCCTAGACTGGCTGAGTGAGTTTGTTGTCAAATACCTAGCCTGTCCATGCCTGTCATATTTTTAGGCTGCATAACTACTTGGACTTGTTGCGGAAAAAAACAAGTTCTACCATTTCTACCATTTGTTCATGCTTCTTGTACCAGGAATGGCTTCAAAGGAGTCAACGATGTGGACCGTGCCGGCTGGTCACCTCTCCACTATGCCGCATTGAATGGAAATCCACAGTTGATTCAAGGCTTACTGGAGCAACGGGCAGATCTGAATTGCAAGACCCACAAAGCTGCTGGTTTGCACTACCTTGGTTTTTTGGTTCCTCCATGTTCCTCCTCCATGTAGTTAACGTGCTCCCATCCCATCCATTAGTCCGTGTCACCGTCCAGCAAGGACCAACCAATCATTGGCATGCACGGCCACGCGTCTGCACTGGTCATCAGCCTTTTCTTCAAGCAAAACAAGGTTGTGCGCTTGTTGCTGGAAGCTCGGGCCATCATGGACGGAGGCCTGCATCCTCCGATCTATTGTGCGGCCAGGGCAAGCAACTCCGAAGGTGTTCGCTTGTTGTGCGAAGCCAGCTGCAACATCCACGCAAGGGATTTGCATCTCAGCCTTCAGCCAACAAGTTCTTTGCTGCATACATTTGAAGAGGGAAAAGCAGACAAAGCATCAAGAACTGCATTGAAGGTTTTTATAAGACTCTTATATGTCCATGTAGAAGTGCATCAAAATCATAATATAATAGTATATAATATATTGCTATATTGCTGTTTTACTACCATTATTATATGTTATTTAAATGCCATATGATGAGTCACCCATAGCCACCCCTCCCCCGAAAAAAGCAAACAAGGGTTGGTTTTGGGGCTCAATATGTACTGTAGGTATACTGTAGATGGACCCATGGAGTTTGTTGGTCAGTTCGGACAAGAATTTGAAGAGAATTCAACTGAAAACCACGGAACCACGGGCCTGAATGCGCTAGAGCCGCTAGAGGTTTGCACCAGTTTTTTGATATGCGTCACCAATGAGGCACTTCATCACTTGGAGCGTGCTCCCCTCCCAAGTCTCATTTTCATGGACAAAATCCTTCGGAGTCTACCACGGGAGGGCATTCCCCATTCTGAGCTTCTTTTCTTCTGGCGACGGGTAACGGGTAACGGGACAGGAATTCTTCAATCGTCGCAGAGACGACCAAAACAAGAGTGGCGAACACTGGGGATACGAACCACTTGAGACATCACACTCATCAGGTACACTCACATCACACTCATCAGGTACACTCACATCACACTCATCAGGTACAGACATATGATATGGGCTTGTTTTTTTTTTAGGTGTCCAGTTTATGTAGGGCTGGGATGTTCGACTTAGGCGAAGCATACCCCCGAAGCACACCCTGAAGCATACCCTCTGAAAATGATACTGTAGTCTTCACACTGCGCAAAGCATACCCCGAAGCATACCCCCGAACCTCCGAAGCATACCCCATAGTCAAACATCCCGGCCCAGGAACCTTAAAACAATACAAACCCATATGGTTTTCTTCTACGTGGAGTTGTTCACTCGTGCTGCGAAAGGGATCTCAGGCCAGGCCATGCCCCCCCGTCACGGCCATGCGAATTCCGCACAACAGCACGGTCACCATGCTTCGTTCTGTGACTGCCGCACGGTCACGTGGCCGTCTCAGGTACGATGTCTCAGGCTTTGAAGCTGCCGCCATGAACGGAGCTCGTACTTCCATGGATGTTTTGGCTGCGGCAGGTGCCCTGGAAAGCGCCAACATGGGCAATGTGCTTTTTTGGTCGCCGCTTGTTCGCACTTGAGGAAGTGTCACGACATGATGTTTTGAGGAAGTGTCACAAACCGGAGATCGTTGGTTTGGTGTTCTACTTTCCTTGCGCAAACCATGACTGTCCCTGCAAAACTGGCTCTATTCTGGAAAAGCAACCGCAATCGCATGGAATTGCCAATGAACAACTAAGGCAAGTCTTTCGGGGAGGTCAGCGGGAGACTTGGCCGATTTTGTGTCAACAAAGTGGACGTTCGACCAACAGTTGTTTCAACAAAAACAGTACTGTTTTGCAAATGTCTTGCACATGATTTTGTTCGCTTGATTCCCAACTGTTTGACGTGGCATTTGATGGGGCTCCTAACATAAAACATGCATGTTCGGAAGCGTCTCTTGCACTTTCATGAATTGCACGATTGTCAAACCTTTGTACAAGAGCTGAAGGCACATCGGTAATTTTTTCGATCGAATGTGATTTCCAGTTGAGGAGATGGTCCAACATTTGCTGGATTTGCGGGCTGATGTGAACTATCAGTACGGTTGGCCATCCCTTCGGACCACCTTTGGGCAGTTTGTGGCCCTGAACACGCTGAAGTACCGGCTGGGCAACCGAACCCGGAACCCCCGACGCTGCTTTCACGGAGTGGAAGGGACACCACTAATGATGGCGGTGATCGCCGGGGAATACGAAGGAGCTGCTGCCCTGATTGCAGCAGGAGCAGACATCAATATCCGCAATGGGCGGGGGGTCACTGCGGGCGATCTAGCACAAGGATTGGCTGTGCCAGATTTCTTAGCGGAGGGTCTTCTTGGTCGGCGAGCAGAATGTGAGAGAATCCTCTCAATTTCACTCGCAGGCAGCCTAGTAGAAACCAAGCTTTGATGCAGCCATTCCAAGCTCAAGGCTTCGATGTTTCTTTGTTTTCAACTTTCTGTCATTTCCATCAAAGAGTGAAAGGACCTTCGGATCCGCGTCTCAAGCCTGTTAGTTTGAGCGGCTTGTGGATATGTTATATGGTTTTGGACGCGTCTTCAGATGTTCTCCCAAGCACCTCACTATCTTAGTGATAAGACAGAACATCAACAAAGTGGAATTTGTCAGTCATCGCCATGGTTTTCTGTCGTCAGAAACACTTACTGTCGTCAGAAACCGGTTGGCACGAGTTCGCCTCATTTCCGGCCAGCAAACTTGGGAAGGGTACTGAGAGACTCCAAAAAGACTGGAAGTCTGGCCTGATGGTGCCTACACTCCATGCGAAACTAGCATTTAACCACGACCAGGTTACCTTAACCACGACCAGTTTACCTTAACCACGAGAAGTCTCCTTAACCACGACCCCAGGTCCTTGCGAGCCTACATTGGGGTGGTTAACCCCAGGTCAATGGCCTGCTGTTGTTCCAGTCCCATGGATTTGGAGGAAAAGCACCGCTCGAGCTCGTTGTCTTTCTTTCGGCACGGCACACCGTCCCACATATCACGGGGGGGATTGATTCACGCGGCGGAAGTATCTTCCGAAAGAAAGGAAGATCACAGAGGCCCCGAACTACTTTTGAAGCATTGTTTATGAAGCAAAATTAGGAAACAGAGTCTTATAGTTTGTTAGGTGTTTGAATATTGATTTGTGCTTCAGCGTGAAAGTCCGGCACGTCCACATAAGTGGTGTGCCAGAGACCCCAGACCCCCACCGCCCATGCGCACCGAGTTTTGCGGCCGCCATGTCCAAGTTTCGACTGGTTCACTGGCTGCATGACCTTCCTTGGACCATCAAATCCCACTTAGGCAACTCATCCAATGTGTGGTTGTCGTCAATGATTGCACCAGAAGACAAGCAAGATCAAGCAAGTGTATACTGACTGGAGGAGATTTACTTTTTGCTGTCGATTTGTGCTGTCCATCTACGCTATCTTGGTTTTGCTCAGGGTGATGTTTATTTTCCCCATGGGTGAATCCCCTTCATAGGTTTTATGTGTTCCTGGCTTCCTGAACAGCAAATCCAAGCGATTGCAGACGCCTGCCCATGCTGCTTCAGGCACTTCTTTTTCCGGCTCTCTGGCGTTTGGCCGGGTGTTTTTTCTCCTTGACGCCCAGTGATAACATTGAAGAGTTTCAATGATGAGTTTTCTGGCCAAAAGCATCCAAAGCATCCAAGTTTCCTTTCTAGAGGGGGTAAACCATCTAAAAGAAATTGACCCCCCCCCCCCCCCCCCAAGCAGTGGTGGATCAAAGCCCTTTTATCATACTGAACAGGCCATCTAAGGCCCAAGTGTTCCGGAAAAAAACAAAAACATCTGCACTCCTCGCCCTTTGGAGCGTAGGGTTGGGGCAAGGTGACCAACTGGATCGGAAGATCCGTCTTGTCCTTAAGACCTTAAGAGTTGATCAGCTTCAATCGTTCAAGAGCAAATGATGCGAGGCACATATCATATATATATATATGTTGTTTTCCTTTTTCAAGCAGGGGGGCTCCTGCTACCGCACATGGTGATATGAACAAGCATTTTGGCCCACCAATGCATTTGGTCGACTTTCGGGTAGCATCATGGGGCGTTTCAGGTCGTGTCACCTGCCGATTTCGGTTGAGCTCACCGCCCCCCAAAAAATGGTGTCAGCTTGCAACCGATTGCACTGTATAGGTCGCTTCTTTCATCCTGGACCGGCCATAGCCGCAAAAAAGGGCCAGGAAGCGAGCCACTCGGGAATCTGGAGTCTTTATTAAAGGACATGTTGGAAGGTTGGGGCAATGATTATGCTGAACAAGCACAGACACATAAGGCCATTGACAGTGCAAATGGGAAATGCATGGGTTCATGCGTATCCACGTCAACATGCGATCCGGCAGCAAAAAGGCGTACCCTTGCAAAGGTTCATACGCATCCAGAACATGGTAATAACTTGCTTTACCTAGCTTCGGTCCTTTATTAGGGGTTGCAGGAAATGGCAATCGTCAGCTCCTGTGTCGGTAAAACAAAATGTAAAAGACATCATATATGTTTGATAAAGATCTTTGACCCTCTAAGAAAGATAAAGAAGATACACATATTGTATCAAACATAGTGGCGGAAGTGGATGGAACAGACCCGTGGCGCCTCGGGGTTGCTCGGGTCTCACCAGGGGTCGCACCTGGGGCAAATTCCGTTCCGCGGAAAGGAGGTATACATGGATTCCATTCCAAAACACCAAAACAGCCGCAACAGTTTCGCAACAGCTTCGTCAATAGTGGGCAAAACTTTGCGCCTGTGCTGAGAAGTTTTGTCATGTTTATCAAACCATCTCCACTAATTAGCATCATCATCCATTGCAATCCTGAAAATCAGAGGATCACCCAAAGCTAACTGGAGGATTTGAGGTTGGATACCATTCTACCATTCCCTACTCTACTACTGTGCTTTGTATTCTTCCATTCTTCTATAGTCAGCCCGTGTGATTCCCTCCCCGCTCGTGACGATATTTCCAAGAAGTTTGACAGGGTCATTTCGTTCGAGGCAGTCACAGGGCTTGCCAGCAGAGGTTGAAGAACCCTATAGACTATTCTATAGGTACCACTGTAGGGTCCTATAAGGTCACTTAACCTCTAGGTGGAGAATCAAACAGTGCTTGTTTGTCCGTTTCGGGGCTGAGCACGGAAGACTGAGCGGAAGACGATGGGGCAGCCAAAACCGCGTCGTGCTACCTCTCTCAAGGCTTCCAGGAAGTTAAAAGCACCCCTAGCCTTCCAAGACAGTTCTAAAAATGGTTTACCTGGTTTTTGTAGTGTAAGTAAAATCCAATGTCTCAGGATTCGAGTCATTGCATTCATAGTGGGCCGGGAATCATGGGGGCACACTCATGATGAGTATCGAGGAGGTGGTTATAGGTTGGTTGATTCTTTGAATCTTTTTTGACTAAGCTCGTAAGGATTTGCAGCATTTACATTCTACCACTACCATTGTCAACCAATACCAAGTAGCGCAAAATTATACCAGACCTTTTTTTCTGCCAATCGTGGGACCCTGTTCCTGGGTCGGGCACCAAAGAATCAACCGATGCTCCATTTGGAGGCGTTGTCCTTGAGGACCTGGCGAATCAACAGTCGACTTGGCCAAATTTTGTTTGGAAGCCACCTCAGAGAGAGAGGTTTAACTCAACAACTCAACCAGGGGGATGTTTAGGTCTATTATCAAAAATGTCCATGACGTTTTGGTGTGATTTTTGTCAAGAGCTTGTCAGTTTTTGCACCGTATAGAACCATCGTTGACGAGTTTGAATCATTCTACTCCTGAGACCGTTTGAAGGGGTCCCGCCTGCACAATTTAGGCATAAATGAAATATTAAACAAACTCGTGCTGGGATCTCTGGGTAGGTGTGGTAAGTCAAGATCCGCGTAACCGACCTGTATAGATTCAGATGATATGTATATTATTATATATATATGTACATTTTTGGTAGCATTATATGTATCCAGAATTTGGTAGGAGCTGTGTAAAGCAGCAGGAAACATGACTCCGAAACCAAGATTGTGTCTCAACATGTTTGAGTTCCGATTTCTTTGGTTCTTTGGCCGATTTCTTCTGATTCGAACATTCAAAACCAAGCGCCCGTGGCACGTGAACCATCAGCTCGTTGATCAATCCCAAGCTCGATCGTCTACGATCTCAGGTGATTGCATGACGAAAAGCTGAAGATCAAAAGCTGAAGATGCAGATTCCTAGATGGATAGGACTACCAGACACCCGAAATGAGACACCTACTTGCAGACTTCTAGAAGAATTGTAGAAGGAAACTTCCCTAGATAGATAGGACTACCCCCCATCTACACCTCCTTCAAAGAACTCAAGTTTTGGAGTGATCAGCTAGTTTCTGTGTTCGACCATCAGTGATATGAGAGACTGATGAGGCAACTGATTCGATCTGCTGCGTCGGACGCCTTCGACGGGACGTCCTCGGGTCCCGTGAGGTAGACCGACCGAGACCGAGACCGAAACGGCCGAGGTCAACACGTCTCGACCCGGGTTGAGCAGGGACAGCGGGTTCAGGGATTCCACACCGAAAGTTTCAACAGGCTGTATCAATCAAGGTAGTCCTACTTGTAGCATGGAAGAGCTCGACGTTGCTCGGTGGTTCTTGCTGAATAGGACTGGTCATAAAGGGCCCTCAGTTCGGATGAGAAGAAAGACACATTGCAAAGTGGTTGTCCTACGTCCTACTCAAATTGGGAGAATTGGCCAACTGGAAGATGGTCAGATCAAATTTTAGAGTCCACTCCATCATCCCCAATCCATTCTTGAGAGTCAAAACTACCAGCAGTTCAGTGCCATCCACTGACTTAGGGACCAAGCACCACCCCTTTGTAACTCCTGGTGTCCTTTTCGATCTAGTTTGCACCACTGCGATGTCCCTTGATGTGCGCTGACTTTGCCAAGAAGAATTCATGGGTCGCCCTGGGTGCCTCTGCGTTGGTCAGAGCATCAAGCATTGGAAGATATTGGACCTGGAAGATTCATATGACATAATGACGAAGTGCTTACGTTATAGTAGCCATTGATGTCACCAACAGCCCTTTATTCAGTCTAGTAACTGACTAGTAACGTAACATATTCATTATCAATAGGTCAATTATAAGAGTGTCAATAGGTGTATACGGAAAAGGGTGCCCGCGTCCGCACTTACTGTAGATGTTCTGGCGTTTGGCACCGGTGCCACGGCCACCGGTGCCATGCCCAGCTGTGGCAGCTGCGTGGCCGAAAGCGCCTCCGTTGCGGCATCCGATCCGATCGGGTGCAGCTTCCTTCACTGGAATGGACCAGGTCGTATCATACACCCTGGTCGAAACGACTGAAAACGATCGGTTATTTGGAGCCGGGAGAAGCACCTGGCTGAACATCTCCTTGACTGGGGAAGCATTGGTCATCAAGCCATGGGGAAGACTCATTTGCTTGAAGGATGGGAGAGACGATGAAACATGGCCTTTCACCAATGGAGTTTCCTTGGCCGGTTCTTGTGCCCGGCCCCTCCGGCCCTTCCCCTCTTGGTCGTATCCCGTCCAGGTCGACGCTTTATTTGATTTGGCTCCAGAACCTTTGCCTTTGCTACGCAAAGCCGCGCCACCGCGGCCAAGCTTTGCATCAGTCTCTTGGAGGGTCTCCGCGTTGACCGTTTTGGACCCAGGAACTGCAGCACCGGAACGCGCTGATTTCTTCGGAACTCGACCAGGTCCACTTCGAGAGTGCCCATGAGTTCCCTTCAAAAAGGGTTGCTTACCTACAGACGTGACCTGAACTAGGACCCTACAGGGGTACCTAATAGGATAGATAGGATAGTCTATAGTGTTCTTCAACCTCTGCTGGT